TCTGGTTAGCAGTCAAATGCCTTATGCACTATGCCACCAGAGCTCCTCAATACCCATTGTTGTTGTTGTTATGTGCCATCAAGTCGGACCCGACTCATAGTGACCCCTCCTTGGGTTTCTGAGGCAGTATCACTACGGAAGTAGATTGCCCCATCTTCCTTCCAAGGAGCGGCTGTCGGTTTGAACTGCCAGCCTTCTAGTTAGCAGTCAGGTGCCTTAGGCACTATGCTACCAGAGCTCCCTCTTTACTCATAGCTTCTTATAAAAAAAGATTCCTTTCAACTGGAACCATTCCATTTGGAGTAACAAAATACTTCTTACTCTAGTCACAATACTGTATTCCAAAAGGGCAAGGTCTGGGAGAGTCATGGTGTAGTTGTGTCTTTGCTGTTTCCTCTGGACTCCTACAAGTATTTGTATGGAGTGTGTGTTTACATGTGCTTGTCTGTGTATATGTGTGCATGGTACATCTAGGACATTTTCAGCAGCCCTCCAGGCACATAGTAAGCATGAAAGTAAGTTTTTGGCAACTGCTAGGCTGATGTCAAATTGAATTTATTTTTCTTTCACTGTTACTGCAGAGCTATGCTGTGGCACCCTCTCACACTTCTGCTACTTTCCACCCCAATTTAAAAGGGGAAGATAATTCATAATATGTAATTGTTGATCATATGGTGCCTGTTGGTATCCCAAATTTTTAGATATTGTGACTAAAAAAAATAAACTGAGTTGTCCAGATTGCAATGTGAAGCCAGGTTGGATTTTATTTTCACTCATTGATTAAAACTTATTTCATCTATATATCATGTGCCCTGGGAAGGTTGCCCATAATACAATATCTTATTTTATGCTTATGAAAAATGTAGATATTTTAATAAATCTTTGAACTTTCTGATCCTCAAAAGAAAAAAAAAAATGTCACATTGAATCAAGCAGCTGAAAAGAACCTTAAGATCTAGTTCATTTTGCTCATTTAATAAAGAGAAATTTGTTATATCTTTTAAAAAACTCAAATTTCAGTTCTTAACAAATCACATTCTGGAAAGACTCATGAACAAGTCATACTAAAATGCATTTTTTCTCTTTTCCTTTTATTTAGCCATAATTGTATTTATCTTTTGTAGATATTCTTCACTTCAAGGATTGTATTTTGATAGTAAAAATAAGATTAGCAACTATAATCTGATAAAATAGAGCAAATATCCAACCCTTAGAAGCCATTTCTTAAACACGATGTTTTAAAACAAAAAGAAAACGTATTTTATAAGCACAGGGAAAGTTAATATTTAACCCACTTTTGAGAAAATAGAAAACTTTACAGAGAAATAAAATATTCTAAGCAGGTTTTTCCTTAGGTTGGATTTGAATCTACTGCTTTTCAACTTATGGACATTGCTGCTGGAACAAGCCATGTTGTGATTTCTAGGAGAGGTACATACGGCTCTCTCACAGTTGTCTGGACCACTGGATATGCTCCTGGGTTAGAAATCCCTGAACCCATTTTTGTCGGCAACATGACCCCCAAACTGGGTGAGTTGTAATTTTTCTCTGATTGGCTCCATAGAACATGGAGGTGTGTGTAATTGGCAACTAATTTTCTTGGGACATACTTACCCTAGACCCTGCAATGGTTGTCTTCTAGTATAAAAAGTAAATCCATTGCTGTTGTGTTGATTCCAACTCATAGAGACCCAATGGAATAAAATGGAATTCCCACATAGGGTTTCTAGGGATGTACATCTTTACAGAAGCAAACTGCCACAGCTTTCTCCCTTGGAACGAGTGGTGGGTTCAAACCACTGACCTTTCATTTAACAGGCAAGGGCTTAGTTCTTGCACCACCTGGCCTTCTTGTCTTCTAGTGTCATGAGTCCGAATTGCCAGGTTGAGGGCAGTAGTGGTCCAGTGGTAGAATTCTTATTTTCCTGTGGGTGATCTGGGTTCAGTCCCTGGCCAGTGCACCTCAAGAGCTGTGACTCATCTATCAGTGAAGGCTTGCATGTTGCTATGATGCTGGCACTTCAGAATAATACAGACCAGGGAAAAGGCCTGCAGTTCTTCTTGCCCAATGAAATCCTTATGGGAAACAGTGGTCTGATCCTGCTGTGCATGAGGTTGCAATGAGTTGGAGGATGACTTGTGTGATTTTATACTTATTTATACAATCTTTAAAAGTTCAGTCAATTTATTAACAAGTTGTATAAACTAATGTAACAGGAGTTCCCAAACAACAGATTGACATCTTCAAGCCATTTCCCCCCCTCTATTCAGGTGTTTGAGCTTTCATAATAATTTTTTTTAAAAATAATGAAAAGTAAAGTGATTAGTACAGTGAATACCTATGAACTCACCAATTAAGCAATTGTTAACATTTTACCGTATTTATGACATTTTTGTCTGAAGTTATTTAAGGTAAAATATGTATATTAGGATACATCACCCCAAATGACTCTAATATGCACCTCTGAAATATATGCTGATACCAGAATTCAAACGAAAACCTGCCTAACACCTCTTTCCATTACTGGATTTTGTAATTGAAAGAAAAAAATAGATAAATGCAGGCAGACAGGTTTGAGGCAAGGTTTGTGTGGTCTAGAGAGCTTTCTGTAAATTAAGCTCCTCTCCACTCCAAAGCTCTCATTTTTAATTTAATCATGTACTTTATATTAAAAATGAGAGTTTTGTGGGAGAGAGGTAACTAAACTTAAACAAAGCTCTCTAGACCACACAAACCTTGCCTCAAACCCTGTCTGCCTGCATTTATCTATTTTTCTTTCGATTACAAAATCCAGTAATGGAAAGGGAACTCAGGTAGCATAGTGCCTAAGGCTAACCAGAAGGCTGGCAGTTCAAACACACCAGCCACTCCTCAGAAAGAAGGTTGGGCAATCTACTTCTGTAGTGATATGGGCCTTGGAAACCCAAGGAAGGGTCACTTTATCTCTTGTTGACTGGAAAATAATTTTGGAAAAGAAACTGTTTTACCACATTTTTTATGACTTGAATCCTAATGTAAGAACTAAAATGTGATAATTTTCCTTTTCATATTTGCTTTCAGGGAACCTTTCATTTTCTCATGGTGAACAGAGTAAAGGAGTTGTGCTGTGGACATTTCCAAGCCCTGGTCGACCAGAGGCCTTTGTCATTCACCTATCAGGAGTGCAGAGCAGTGTACCAGGTGGAGCTCGACTTCGGTAAGAGCAACCCAGTTCTCAGCTAAGAAGTTCTCTGAGCAATATGTTATCTGCGATGTATTGGTCAAGAAAGAAAATGTCACAAGGATCTCTTTCCTAAAGGCAAATACGGAAGCAATTTTAGTGTAAGGGAGAGCGGGCTCAGCTTTAATCACCTGCATTCCAAAGATACCTTGGAGAGGGGATGACTTTCAAGAGTCCAATACTCAGTGCTGACCTTCAAGAAAGTTTATATTGATCTCTGACTCAGGAGAATTAGTCTGGCGTGAATGAAGAGCCTCTGGGTGGTACAAAGAGTTAACGTGCTCAGCTGCTAACTGAAAAATTGGGGGCACAGTTCCACCCAGAGTTGCCTCAGAAGAAAAGCCTGGTGATCTGTTTCTGAAAAATCAGCCATTGAGAACCATATGGAGTGCAGTTGTACTCTGACACCTGTGATCGCCATGGTTTGGAATCGACTCGGTGGCAACTGGTGCTGTTTGTTGTTAGGTGCCATTGATTTGGCTCCAGCTCATAGCAGCCCCATGTACAATAAAGTGACACTGCCTGGTCCTGCACCATCTTCATAATCCTTGCTATACGGGAGCCCCTTGTGGTACAATGGGTACTAGTAGCTTTTATAATACTGATCTTAATAAATTAATGTGACACTAAAAAAAGTTTTACATCACTTGTAATGTTTTAAATTATTCTCTGTTTTTCCCCCTCTCAATTGGAGGAAGGAGAGTCTGAAATAACTGTCATCTGCACATGGTCATTTATACACAGGTCATTACATGGGTCTCTCTACAGGTATCCATTATACATTTCAAAAATAGAGAACCCTGCTTTTGGGGAGCTTGCGGATTATAATATTATGGGCTACTGGAAAAATAATTATAATAACAGTCAGCTAATCCATGCCCAATCCCTGTGCTTTTACTATCTCATTTTTACCTAAAAGAGACCTAAAACACAGAAAAGCTAATTAACTTTCTTGAGATCACATAGCTAGTAAATGAAGAAGTCTGGATTTGAATACAGGCCATTTATCTCTAGCATTTATGTTTCTAACTATTAGCCTAGTGTTGTGGTTAGGGCCTTGGGCTGCTAAGCAAAAGGTCAGCAGTTCAAATCCACTAGCTGCTCCACTGGAGAGAGATGAGACAGTCTGTTTCCATAAAGATTTACAGCCTGGGAAACTCTGTGGATGGGAAACCCTGTGGGGATTGCTATGAGTCAGAATTGACTAGATGGCAGAGGATGTTCTATTTGCATGATTCAGTGATTATTTTGCAATAACTTTATTTTCTGAAAAGAGGGAAAATGTGGAGCATGTTAACAAGGGATCATAGAGCTGGAAAGTTGATAGAAATTTAGAAAAAAAAGCAAATTGATAAAGATTTTATTTTTATTGTTTTAATTTTTCCTTTATCTAGCATGAGCTTGACAGAATAGCAGAGGACAGGCCTGAGAGACATACTCATAGATTAGTCCTGACTCTACCACTTACTTGCTGTGTGACTTTGAGAATGCTACTTGATCTTTCTGTACTTCAGTTGCCTTATTTGTAAAATGGAGAAAATGTGTGGGTAAAACTAGTTTATGTTCGAGTATCCATGTTTGTGTGTGGGGGACGTGGGTACTCAATATTGAATATGGTTTTATATTCTATAGAAGCCATTTAAACAATGTTTGGTCGCAGAATATATTTCAAGGTCACAAGGTCAAATGCCTTTAACAACAAAAATAATGGCTGTTTCATAACGCTTACCCTAGGCCAGGCATTATTTTTCGGTATATACTGTTCTTAACAACGACTTTATAAGGTAGGTAGTATTATTAGTCCCATTTTATAGATGAAGATATGGAAACACAGATAGATTATGTAACAAATGCAATGTCACATAGCTAGTAAGGTTTGGGTTCATGATTTGAACCAAGGTTGTCTTGGCCACTGTCTGCACTCTTAACCAATATGCTATATGCTACGTGATGGATGTTTGACAAGAGGGAATGATAAGGCCTAGGGTACTCTCCCTAAAGGCATTCAAATTTAGAAAAAGTAAGCTGTTAGTGAAGAAAATGTGTCTGAGGTCTGGATTAGGATCATGGGCCACAGGTTGTAATCTCTGACATAACTAGTTGCTCCCAACAGAAATCCATAAGAAAAAAAGTTAAGGATTAATCATTAGATCATGGATATTCCAATTTATAAACTTTTAGCTATATCTGTGTGAAGAAATAGTTCCATTACTATCATGGTAAGAGGAAGCAAGGATTTTGCTCCCAACAGGAGCAACTTTTTCTATTTGGTAGATGAAAAAGCTGAATAAATCTGGAGCTCTGAGTTTTTGGTACCCTGTGTACCAGTCAATGATAACAGAGAGCCTGATATTTCAAATCCTTCAGAAAGCTGCTCTGGGATGAGTGGGCAAGCAGACTAGAAACCTATGTGTTCTTCACTTGTTAGGTTCCGTCACTCACTGTTGCAACACAAGCTCCTGTTCTTAACATTTTCTGTGCTCTGGTATTTTCATAATAGGTTCATGATATTTGAAAAGTCATGTCATTTTTAAGATGTTGCCTTCATGAACAACGTTTTAAATAAGGAGTATTCCTATTATTCATGAATTCTTTCACGCTTTATTTTTTTTTTTCCCCAGATCAGGTTTCACGGTTGCTGAAATTGAGCCAATGGGAGTCTTTCAGTTCTCCCCTAGTTCAAGAAATGTCACTGTGTCAGAGGACATACAGATGACCAGATTACATGTACAAAGACTGTTTGGGTTCCACAGTGATCTTATTAAAGTTTTCTATCAAACAACGGCAGGAAGTGCAAAGCCATTGGAAGACTTTGAGCCTGTTCAAAATGGGGAACTACTTTTTAAAAAATTCCAGGCTGAGGTTGATTTTGAAATAACCATTATTAATGATCAGCTTCCTGAGATAGAAGAAATTTTTTATATCAATCTAACTTCAGTAGAAATTAGGGGGCTAAAAACGTTCGATGTTAGCTGGAAACCACGACTGAATCTGGATTTTAGTGTTGCAGTGATCACAATATTGGATAATGATGGCCTGGTAGAAGTGGATGATTCTCTCTCCAAGACAACTGTGGTGGGAGCCACAGCTCTCATTCCTATAGAAACTGACTCTACTACACACCCTGACAGAACTAAGATAACTGCCATTCCACAGCCAACCGAAATGGTTTCCGTTGCTCCTGAGGCAACTGGTACATCTGCCATGCCTGAGAAACTTGTCACCCTTCCCGGTACATCCACTATGTCTGAGAAGCCTTCTGTAGACACTGTAACTGCTGATGTTTCTATTCATGGAACATTTAGTCTTGGGCCACCTATTATTTACATTGAAGAGGAGATGGAGAATGGCACATTCAATATTGCCAAAGTTCTTATCCGAAGAACTGGTGGATTTACTGGCAATGTCAGTGTAACAGTTAAAACCTTTGGGGAAAGACGTGCTCAGGAAGAGCCAGATGCATGGCCCTTTCATGGTGTCTATGGAAGTTCCAACTTAACATGGGCAATTGAGGAAGAAGACTTTCAAGAACAAACTCTTACCCTTACATTTCTAGATGGAGAAAGAGAAAAAAACATATCAGTTCAAATTTTGGATGATGATGAGCCTGAAGGACAGGAATTCTTCTATATATTTCTCACAGATCCTCAAGGAGGAGCGAAGATTGTGCAAGAGAAAGATGATACTGGCTTTGCAGCTTTTGCCATGGTCATTATTACAGGTATGTATTTGAAGTGATAGAGATAAAAATATGCTTTTTTTGTGATGTAGAATTTGGAGTAAGATCAGTGTAGCTGAAGTGTAATCAAAAGAGGGCAAATTATTTGAATCACTCATACAAATTCATTAACACATTCTTTTCTTCCTTTAACATGGATTTATGACAAGAACTAATGATTTTGTGTTGAGGATCCAGCTAGAATTTAATGGATTGTAAATGTTACTTAGCCCAGAGCCAGATGTATAATCTATAAATCCATACTTATCCAATAAAGGAAAACCTTAAAAATATTCAAGTCCAGTTTTTCTTCTGCAAAATACTTAATGGAATCATTCAGACACATGCTAATTTGTTCTATTTTGAAATGCTATTCTAAATTTTCTAACCATTTTCAATAAATTCAAAGATCCCATTGTCAGAAAATTCTTTGTAATCATTATGAAATAGATTAAAGCTGTTTCCTTCTCTTCTGCTTCTGACCCAATGAAGTTTATATATCCACTGTACTATTTTATTACAATTTATATATTGCATAGTTTAAAAATTCAATTATTTAAGAGCTCCTCATACATATTATCTTACATTAATAATTTGAAGTTTTCCTCTGAAATCATATGGTATTTCCATAAGTGATAAGGCTCAGCTTATCAATATGTTACATTAATTAGGTACTGAAAGACCATCTTATGATTTTGATATACTCTTCTATATAAGCACTCATGAGTTCTACACAGTGGTTTAGAGTTTCAGATGACATTGTAAACAGCATGAGGCCCATGGTTTTGTCCCAGATTAGCCATTAATTGGGAGACCTTGAAAAAGTCATTTAGTGTCTATGCTTTATTTTCCTTTCATGAAATGAAAGTTTTAGAATAAACATCTTTGTAATCGACATTTAGGATTCAATGGTTTCTAGAATTTTAACTTTAATTTAGGCAATCAATATAATTTTGCAATATTTTAGCATCCTATTTATATTATTTTCTAACTTTATGTCAGTTGGAATTCATGTCATTTATTCTTACAGTTCATTTAAAGAGTTTTCAATTCTAATTCTATTCTACAAATTTATTAATTCTGATTCACATTGACTTATTGTAGTCTACATGTTTCCATTGAAATAATTTTATCCCTCAACAGCCCCCTCTCATCCCATGACATAGATCATTATATTATTTGAATATGACCAAGGTGTCAGTCAAAATATTTAGCAATTAGTTTGGCTCAGGCACAGACCAATCAAGATGGTGCTGGACACTCCTTGTGGTGTCATGATTGGTCAGTAACTCCACTGGTTACTGGCTCATGAGGTGATCTTTTGGTCCTTGCCAGGATAGTGGCAGAGAGTACTTTAGAGTCTTGGGACAGCAGCTATGTAAGAAATGGAATGGAAGTATATTTTTATATTTTATCAGTATGGCATATCAATACTTGTCTATACATCAGTTTCTAAGTATAACTCACCAGGCAAATATCCACTCAGCTGACTGCTGTGAGGTCCTCACTAGACCCTCTAATGTTTATCTTCTCTATTTAAGGTGATCCCTGTATAAGGAGCTCTGGTAGCATAGTGCCTAAAGCACTTGACTGCTAACCAGAAGGCTGGTGGTTCAAACCCACCAGCCACTCTTCGGGAGGAAGGTTGGGCAATCTACTTCTGTAGTGATACCGCCTCAGAAACCCAAGGAGGGGTCGCTATGAGTCAGGTCTGACTCGACAGCACATAACAGCAACAACAACAGTGGGTTCGATGCTCAAAGCATTTGGTGGCTAACTTAAAAAAAAAAAAAAAAAAAAGTGTTGGTAGTTTGAAACCACCACTCACTCCATAGGAGAAAGATGAAGGAGTATATGCTTCCATAAAGATTTACAGCCTTGAAAACACTATGGGGCAGTTCTCTGTCCTGTAGTGTTGCTGTGATTCAGAATTGACTCAATAGCAGTAGATTTGTTTTTTTGGATATAAAGTGAATTGATCAATATGGCAAATGATATCACTCTACCATACCCAAGTCTTAATGTCACATGATACAATTTACCTGATGACATCACCAGGGACATTTGCACTGTCTTAATACCCTAAGAGAAGTGGCAATCTGCTTCCATGAAGACTAAACAAAAAACAGAACAAAACAAAACAGAAACCATGAAGATTACAACCTTGAAATTGCTGTGGAGAAATTCTCCTCTATCCCATGGGGTCACTATGAGTTGGAATTGACTTCATGGCTATGGGCTTAGTGTTTTTTTGGTTTGTTTGTTTGTTTAGTTTTTGGCTTAATATGCTAAGTAAAGAACTTCCCATTACTCTGCCTGTGAATGCGCCCCTTATCTTCGCTCTACCTTTTTTTTTTCTTTCCGTAACATAATAGTTAATCATCATTAATGATTCAGATTTCTCTTATCTTAACTAATCTTCATAATGTTTTCCCATTTAGATTTTAGAAGAAAACTTCAAAATAAATCAGGGAAGAAATAGTTTATTTACTTTTAGTTTTGATCACTTCCATATTAGAAGTCTTGAATTATCTTCTAGAAATTTGACATCCAATTTATTATTGTGGATGTGGAAAGGGAAGTATTATTTTATTTAGAACCATACTAGTTGCTGTTGCACCAGTGGAAAGCATGAAGGGTCTACTTGTCAGAAGCGTATATTCTTCTTGTAGAGTTCACATTTCCACCAAGATGACTAGAAAACAATTGCTGCTGAAAAGAAAGAGTTGACTTCAGGTGCTAAGTTGACTACTGTGATTAATTGGTCACAGTGATTAATTGGTGAGGGTGAGGGTGGGCCACTTGGTTAAGACAAAACACAATGTGAGACATTAGGAAAAGTGTGCTTCGTCACATGCATGTCCCTAATCGACTGGTGCCACAGGAACTCACACTTTACACCTGAGAAATAGGCCCAGCGCTAGTGACTACTGGTTAAGTGGCACAGTTAAGTGATTTTCTCTTTCTTAACTTAGGAACCTCAGGAATCAGATTTCAGGGTAATTAAAGTAGTTTTTAAGAGTGATTCCTTTATGGTCATTGCCTCATTTTCTTCATATCATAGTGCCTTTAACCTTAAGTGTTGCTCAGGGGAGTTTCTGAACATAGTAAATGGGAGCTCTGGTAGCATAGTGCCTAAGGCGCTTGACTGCTAACCAGAAGGCTGGCGGTTCAAACCCACCAGCCACTCCTCGGAAGGAAGATGGGACAAGCTACTTCTGTAGTGATACTGCTTCAGAAACCCAAGGAGGGGTCGCTGTGAGTCGAGTCCGACTTGACGGCACATAACAACAACAACATAGTAGTAAATACCACAGTTACTGCTTTTGTGGGACTTATATTCTATGAGGAAATACAGACTATAAAATATAAGTATATATCAAATGTCAAGTACCAAATTCAACCTCTCATCAGAGAAAGATGACTATGTGTGTGACAGGTAGGCAGTAGAAATTGAAGTTTTCTTTCTTCTGGTCTTCTGTGCTCAAGGTGTTAAGACCTGTTGCCATCATGTACATGCTGACTTATGGTGACCCCATGCATTACAGAGTAGAATTGAGCTCTGTGGGGTTTTCTTGTAATATATATGGACAAAGATCATCAGGTCTTTCTTCTGAGGCTCCACTGAGTGGGTTTGAACCACCAACTTTAAAAAAAAAAATTCTTGTGTTTTGGGTGCAGATTTACAAAGGAGATTTGTTTTACTCTCAACAGTTCATGCACATTTGGTTTCATGGCCCTGATTATAATCCCAACAATAAAAAGCTCTCCTCCTATCTTCTCCCTGTGACTACCCCTTCCCTTTAACCTTCTTATCTAAGCACTCCTGTCTGTCCAGTTTTCCCTCTACATGAATGCTGCCCCTGTGGTATCCCATGGCTGCTTGCTCTAAGGAGTGCATCTCCCTAGGGTAGGTGGGTACATCTCCCTGGGATAGATGTTCTATTTGTATGTCTTTCTACTATTTGGCTGAGAGCTAATCCATGGAAGTGAGCCCAGTTCCAGGCCTGAAGGATAACCTGGGGCCATAGTCTCGGGGGTTCCACTAATCTTTATCCGACCAGTAATTCTGGTCATTTTTGTGTTTTTGAATTTTGTTCCACGTTTTTCTTCCCACTCTATTCAGTAGCTCCAATTTTTATCCCTTTGTGAGTAGTTGGCATCGCCCAGACGCCATCTAGTTCTGGTCTCAGGGTGATACAGGCTGAGGTTCTCATGGTCCATTAGTGCCTTGGACTGTTTCCAAGTGTCTTTGATTTTCTGCACTCTTCTTTTCTGGCTGAAGAGAGACCAGTGGTTGCCACTTAGATAGCTGCTTGGAAGCTTTTAAGGCTGCAGTCACTACTTACTGAAGTAAGATGCAAAACAATATTTTTGTATACTATGTAATGCCAGTTGCGTTTGATGTCCCCCACAACCATAGTCCCCAGCCTACAGGCCTAGTGACCCGCTTCCTCAAGGTGCTTATTTGTGGCTAAGAAATTATCTTAACTTTGCCTCCTGTTACTCCATATGGACATTTTTAAAACACATGCAAATTCTTAGGTAGGGACCTCTTAAAGTGTTAGTTCACTTAAATGTTATCATTTTTATTCTAGTTTATTTTCAGTAAAGATCTTTAAGAATTGTTGCTCCCCATCTACTCATTTATTAATTTCTCACCTTCCCACCATCTGGAGAGTTTAATGTTGCATTGGAGATCTTTTACATTCTTAAATGTACTCTCCATTTTTTCATTAAGGGAGTGATCTTCAGAATGGCATTTTAGGATTCAGTGAGGAGTCCCAGAGTGGACTAGAACTGACTGAAGGAGCTGATAAGAGAAGACTGAATCTTATTGTCATAAGGCAGCCAAACAGGTATGTATATACATTTAGAAGACATACCATTCTGTGTACCCACTCAGTATCTAATTAGAGTTCAAGATGCTAGAGGTAGGATGAAAAGTTGACAGAAGAAAGCATAGGTGCTTGAACAATTTCTCTTAGAAAGATCAGCACAAGGCCAATCCTCGTGAGCCAGAGGTTAAAGATGTCCCAAATGTCCAAACTGCTGTGCCACTCCATCATTTCAGACACTGATTCCTCCCCTCAATAATATCCCTCCTGTTTTAGGATTTTGTATTTTGTTGTAATGTCTCACAGAAGTCACAGACACTGAAGGGATTGTCTCATGAAGTGGTGGTGGAGGCTGGGAGGCTGGCAGGCTGGCAAGTCCCATGTCTGTAAGTGGGTCTGGAGGATCCTCCCAATTCTCAGGATTTGATGAACCTAAATCAGCAGATCAGGTGATGGCTGCTGTACCAAATCCAGGGGTCAGATGATGATGAGCAAAAATGCAGAACCAGAGCAAGAGAGAGAGAGAGAGAACTTT